TTGTGCATGACTTAATGAATAGTTAGTACAAGCATATAATGCCGAAGTTTATCTGTTCCTTTGATCCTAAGAGGATTAAAAGCGATATCTTGGGCCCCTCGATGATTCTATTTTGACTATGTGTTAGGCCTGGTCAGAACTAAATTGATGTGTTTAGTTATGTTCTATGTCAGATGAATAGGAAATCAGGAAACAAATTATAGGATAATAAGTATAACTATGCTCCATTTGTTTGTCCGCATATATATCTTGAGAACATAGGATTATATGATCCCTTATCTGAAGGACGAGTCACTGACTAGGTCAGAGTTCGACAACGACTTATGAAAGCTTACGATTGCTAAGCCGGATCCTGAATGTGCATTAATAGTAACAGTTATTAGACTTATCCAAGCAGGAGACTGTTGGATTTGGTGTCTAAGCCCATAACTATAACTAGGATGTACTTGACCCGATTGTAGCATGGTCCTTTTGGGTTGCCTTCACCAATGCAATTTGATAGGATGAACTTTTCAGAATAAGGTTATTTACAATTTATTAATATATTACAAGTATAATACATTAATATGAAATCATATTATCATTTAATTAGTATTGATCAATAATTAATTTGGAATAAATTTTTTGGTCAAAAGAGACTAATTAAATATATGGGGATTGATTATGTAAATAAATGATTCTTAAAGTGTGGGCTAATGAACCATGATGGGCTAAACTAATCAATGGATAATCCATGGAGGCTAAACCCATGGAGCATAAGAATGTCGAAAGTCATAGGTCATTAGGGTTTACAAAGTGTAACCCTAGCATTTGCAACACTATAAATAGAACCCTTATATAGACAAAATCGGTTGCACATGTGTGGAACCTTCTTTGTGAGCTAAATAACCTATTCTCTTAAGCCTCCTTTTGCATATTGGTGTTTGTGAACCATTAGAGACATCACACTTGGGGTGCTCAACCTTCAAAGGCCTAGAGCTACAAGTCCTTCAAAAAGGTATGTCATCTAACTGGTTGTATCATTCAATTGTTCATGCATGTATAATTAGAGAAAACATAGATCCACAACATTTAGGGTTGCATATGCACCATAGGAGTGTTATAGTGCTCAAAACCTAACAAACCTAACCCTAGATTGAGTATTATGAGCAAAAAGAAGGTGCTTTTAAGTGCTTTGGAGTGTTCTTGGTGAACCTTGGAGAAGAAGGAACTCATTGAAGAAGTGTTGGTTGCATTGGAGTTTGTAGATCCACACTTTGTTCTCCTTGATCTTTCTTTTAGAGGTATAAAGTTTGAATCTTGATGATGAAATTGTTAGATCTAGCTAGTTTTGTGTGTTATGAGCTTTTGGTAACTTTAAGTGCATAAAGTTTAGATCTTGAAAGTTTGTGACATTGTTATGGATAAAGTTGGAAACTTTATCCATCTAAACATCATTTTGATTTAAATCTGAAGGTTAGAGACTTCGAATTAATGGATTAAGTTGAAAAGGATGCCCTTTTAGGTCCCTTTAAGACTAAAAGACTAGATCTTGTTTGTTGGGACCATTCTAATGGATAAAGTTAGAAACTTTATCCATTATGTGGCTATTATGAACCATAAAAATGTGATCTTGGCCTATCTATCCCTTCCATACAAGAGTTATGATGTCTTATTGGGTTAAGAACTTAGGATTTTGGACATTAAGCACTTTATAGCCATGCAAAGTCATAAAGTTGGAAACTTTATGGCGTAGGACTTTATTTTGTGCTTGCATATGAGTTTTAGACGTAAGGGCTTAATGGAGTTTCAGGACTGGGTTGCGTACGTTGGACATACCTGGTGGTATGATGCGTGTACGCGGTCAGCGCCCCACTTTTGGTCAACATCAGAGTACGCTGGGCGTGCTCCCTTGGTATGTAAGGCGTACTCCGTTGGGAATAAATATTGACTTTTGGACCTTGATTGTTGACTTTGACTTTGACAAGAGTTAACCAAGTTTGACTTAAAGGTATTTTGGGTATTTTGAGCTATAGTTAAGCCTTGGTCTCTATCTGCTAAGTAGGTGACCTATAGAGTTGGTATTCGGAGTAGTGTATTGTTTAATTATTCTAAACTATCAGGTGAGTTTTCCGCACTATGCTTGTGGTTCAAAGGCACCAATATTGGCCCCTTTAGTTATGTTTCTTGGTATATAGGATGTTGATATATAGTAGTGATGTGTAGATCTGTCTGCTAGTTTGTTAACTAGTTATATGATTATTTGTTGCTGGATATATGTTATTTTTTATGTATATGTCGACATGGTATGGTGGGGTTAAGATTGTACTGCTTTGTGTTATCAGTCAACAGACCAGGGCATTCTAACCGAAAGGTTGTTGGCCCTGGCATTCCAACCGAAAGGTTGTGTGCTGGGGGATATGCAACCAAGAGGTTATGGACCCATTATATATGGGGCAAGCCACCCAAAAGGTTTTGGGTCAGGGCATTCCAACCGAAAGGTTGTATGTTGGGGGTAATCTAACTGGGAGGTTGTGGACCTAGTATGTATTGGTAATCTAACCAAAAGGTTGTGGGCCCGAGCATTCCAACCGAAAGGTTGTGGCCCGGGGATAATCGAACTTGGAGGTTGTGGACCTGTGATTTGGCTGGTCATATGTTTGTGTGGTGGTGCTTTAGGAGAACGCATTAAGCTTTGGCTTATAGTTTTAGTTTATGGTTTCAGGTACATCAGAGGATCGTGGAAAAGCAAAAGCGTGATCATGCACAACTTCCTGTTTTTATGGCTTTGGGTTTTGGGAAAACTCTGATTTTGAAATAATATTTTTGGAAACTGATAATGTCTATTTTATGCATATATTTATGATATTTTATTATTATTTTATACTATGTTTTTATGTTATTTAGAACTAAAAGATACTTAATATGCTTTGAAATATTCAATTACAGCTAAAATGGGAGCTGGAATGCAAAAGGAGGAAAATGGAGCTGAAAAGACGCAAAAAGGATATTGCTGGTAGATTGACCCCTCTTCAATGTTTTGGTGATGTCTCATAACTCCAGTTGACGTGATTCAAAATGTTCTGGAAAGTAGACGAAATTTCCTATGAATTATGTGAGAGGGCCTTTTTTCTAATTCGACATTTATCATATCCAAAATCGGCCTTGAAGATGAAGCATAAAAGTTGGATGAAAATTCCCTCCAAGTTACTTATTATGATATTCCACTTCGACTTGTGCGTCAAGAAAACTTCATAACTACCATTTTGAAGGTCTAGAAGGCGGCCATAGGGCCGTTAAGCTGATATGAAGCAAAGATCTAAGGGATTGGAAGGTGGATTCATGTAGGTAATCATGTGGTTTTTTATCGTGACCATGTTTAGCATTCCTTTGTGATTCCATTATGTGTTCACTTTCTAATTTAGGTGTAAAAACCTTTTACTTTGTGTTTATGATTGAATGAATCTTTGAATTTGTGGATTAATTACTATTTGGATTGTTTTATTCGTGTTTAATTTATCTTGTTAAGCTTGTTAAAGACCCTTATATATTAATGATAATTATTTTATGTTAATAATCAAGTTTATTGAGTTGTATTAGCATCTTCTTAGTTGTTTGAATCATATAGTTTTGTGAAAACAAGATTGTATGCCTAGTATTAGTGAACATGAACCTAGGGTTAACTAGAAAATAAGTAAGTTGACGTGTGAGCATGTGTGATGAACAACCACATATAAGTTGATTGAATTGACAAATTTAATTAACTAATATTACAAGTTTTGCTTGATACGAACTGAACACTAGGAAAAATGTTAGTTTAATCAACTGATCACTGCTTGAATTGACTTGTTTTCTAAAGGATTAGTAATAATGAACATGAACCTAATCATTTTAGAAATCGGTAAACATAAATAAATAAATCTGTATGTGCAATTATCTATGATTTTAAGATATAATTTGTCTAAACCAAAATACCTAAAGCGATTTACCAAAGTACCTAAAGCGTTTTACCAAAGTACCTAAAGAGATTTCTCTTCTGTCAGTTTATCGACATTTGCTATTTAGTTGTTTGTTTGAGATTTAATTCCATAAAACCATTCTTTACTGCTTTTGTGTGTTTTATGTAACGTATAATCAAACATTATAAATTAATTCACTATCGTTCCCCATGTATTCGACACCCTTGCTTATCAAAGTTATACTATACTCGATCCGGTTCACGGTCCGTAAGGTATGGTTTAGATGCGATAAACTAGGAATTATAAATAAAAAACTAGTGCATTAAAGATACACATAAAAAACAATGACTCTTTTTGTAAACAATGATGTTAAATGGTTTATTTTCAAATTTTGAAATTTCTTTGATTTTTAGGATGTTATAGATAAGTCCATTGAGATCGTCATTTTAGGATCAGGAAGTAAGGATAACGAAAATGAATAATTAGGTTATTTGTTTGTTGTAATATATATATATATATATATATATATATATATATATATATATATATATATATATATATTGGTTTTTTTAAGTATTGATTTTTAAAATATAAAGTAATTGATATAAAAAATGATAAATTTATCATTTATTGTTGATTATTTAACGGTGTTAGGTATTAGTTAAAAGGATTATAGTGTCAAAGTTTTGAAACTTGTACTTAAACGGAGAATTTAGCTATAATAGATGGATCATTTCTGTAACATCGTAAAGATTTGGGAAAAAACCAAAATTTCATTTAATGATCCTGAGGATCCGCACACACAAAGAAAACGAAGTCACATTACTCTTGTAGTCTTGTTTCTCCAAATACTTCCACCACACGGACAAAACCAGTCTCTCGTAGGTTACTAGATAGATTCTAGCAACAGTACCAACTAGCTAGCTGGCCTGGCTGCAGCTATCACCACTGTCATCGTTTACCCTGACTGTTTCGCCTACAACACACAACCCCTCTGTTTACTGTTTCTCTCTCAGACAATCTTTAACCCCCTCTCACTCTTTCCCTGTTTCCCTCTCTCTGATGGCGGAGGGTTTTGAACTGTGTCACATCCCACAGCAAAGCAGAAGGGATAAACTGAGGGTGGTCCTCCAGAACCATCACACCAGTGATCTGCAAGGGTGCGCAGGCTTAGGTCTACTCCCTTTATATGATCAATCTTCTCAGAATTTGTTAGCCTGCGCCAATATTAAATCCTCATTAATGGCTTCTGATAATAGCAATGCCAGTGATTATAGGACTGCGAGATCAATTATGGATAACATTAGTAATGAATCGTCGGATCTACAGTCTGTCCGTGATTCAGGTAACAATGATTGTAATTTATTTTACAGACATCAAGACCTTAGGTTCATTGAACATCATGATCAGTCTCCATTTCATGGCGGAGATTTTGTTGCTTTATCTCTCTCGTCGCAGTTTTCCCACAACGGAACTCCTCCTCCTGTAGAGTTGAACTTGCACAGTTATGGTGGTGGAGATGATATCCCGACTGCGGTGATGAACCATGGGCTGTACACAGGCTACGCGTCGATTTTGAAAGGTTCCAAGTTCTTGAAACCGGCGAAACAGTTATTGGATGAAACGTGTGATGTGGGTTTTAGATTTTCCGCTGAGAAGTTTCCTGTTAATTGTGGTTTGATCGACCCTCCTCCGTTGGATAACTTGCGAACAAGTGTTGATGATCCCAGTTGTGGTGGCGCATACAAGAGAAAAAGATCCACCCTAACTTCTTTGCTAGACGAGGTAGTTTTTAACCTCCAATTTGTATTCATTATTACTTTTTAACTTCCGATTTGAATCCACTACTGTGATAGGGTGATTTTCTCAAATTGCAAATTACAATGGTTATGTTTGGTAACTATCTGTTCGTGAAAAGCTAATCGGTAGATAAGTTAGGTGGATCATTGTAAATAAAATAAAAAATTAAATATTCTTTTACTTTTTTACCATTTATCTTCCTATCCTACTTATGCTGACAAGTCATTTAAATTAAATCTTTTTTGACCATTTATCTTCCTATCCTACTACTTATGGTCACAAGTCATTTAATTTAATTAAAATTTAATTGGACTGTTAAATTTGTAGACTTGTAGGTAGGAATAAAAGTGGAACAAAAATAGGAGTATGTTTATAAAATGACATATAAAGGTATGTTGAAAAATATGTTTAGTAATATATGTAAGGGTATATAACAGAACTTAAAAAAAAAACTCTATATACTCTTTTAAAAAACCTAACTTCTAAGCTAATTTTTATTTTGTCAACTATTAAAAAACTAAAAAACTCAAAAAATAAGTTACCTTGTGCGCCACAACATAGCCAAAGCTTCGTTACCAAAAGTAAGAATATAATGATTTACTAAAAAATGTAAAAATAATGCTATAATTTAATCAATGAAATGATTTTGTTATTTCTTTCATTAGTCATTATTTATATGCAAAGCTTGCGCAAATTATTTAAAAGCAACCTTTAATTATTTACCTTTTATCAAAAAATTTCTGCTTTGATTTTAAGCTTACTTTACTATATGATGCATATGCATTATTTAATACAAGTTACTTGCTTTAGATGCTAGACTCGAATTCCTTTGAATATATGATTAGTGATACCTTAAATTAGTACAATTCCATTGTTTAGTGCAGATTTATATTAATTAAGTACGATTCCTTTGTTTAGTGGTTTTTTCAAATGCTCAAAAGATAAAGGAGAAAAATAAAATGATTCTCTCTCTTCCGATGAAGTTCCTGTTGAATGATTTAAAACTTCTAAAATTTACAAATTTGCAGGGGGGGACATATATATACTAGGTGTTTATAACTTTTTATATAAAGATGATAAATTATATAATTTTAAAACCACTTGAAACCAGCTAAAGAGCTTTTAATGGAGAATATTCTTTTCCATATAGATGCGAATATAGGTATGTAAAACCACTTGAACGTAAAGTGCCATTAATGGAGCATACAATGTCACTATCAGTTGATGTTGTTCTTAAAGCGATGGAAAGAATACATCTGAAAAGAAATGATCATTTCTACACTTCAAAAAATGTAAAGAAAGTAATGGGAATAAAGAAAACTTAGAAGAATAACAAGACAAGTTGTCCATCTTTTTGTTTCTTTTCTTCGTTTCTGATTTCTTTTTGTTTATTATTTCCATTATGGTAGACATGATTTATTTTGTTTTCTTCATTTCCGATTTCTTTTTATTTCTTATTTCCATTATACTATGACCTTCCAAATGCCACTTAAACTACAAACTGTTTTTGAATCACATAATTTGGATCAAGAGAATCAATATATGATTCAAAGAAATCTTTTGTAAAGAATATAAACCACTTTCATTGCAAATATTTTCTTTTTCTTTTCACAATATCCTTAGTGAGATTTTGACTTGTCACATTCAGTAAATCAAGAACGATGCTAAATGTAAACAGATTGTTAAAGTTTAAACAAACACATCACAAGTAATTTCAATGCAAATTTGGTAGTTAATTTACTAAGATCATGATTATATCTAAAGATACTTTTTTTTTAACAGGTGTACAAGAGGTATAAATATTACTACCAACAGATCCAAACAATAATCACATCATTTGAAACTGTAGCTGGGCTTAGTAATGCTGCTCCATTTGCAAACTTGGACATAAAAGCAATGTCAAAGCACTTCCATTCCCTTAAAAATGCTATAACTGAGCAGCTACAGTTCTCAGTGAAACCTCATATAAGCTATGGAAAGAAAGAATTCATGGTGTCTGAAAATTTTGAGAAAGGGTATTATGGTCAAATCGGATTAGTTGAACATCAGCCTGTTTGGCGTCCCCAAAGGGGTCTCCCAAAGCGAGCAGTCACTGTTTTGAGATCATGGTTGTTTGATCATTTTCTGCACCCGTGAGTCATTTTATTGTCATTTGTTAATCAAGATATAAACAAGAAAACATGTACATACATATATTGCAAAAAAAATCATAGGTTAGAATCAGGCATAAATAATTAAGCATTGCATATAATGACGGATTAGTGACAAAATCTTTATATTGTATTGTGTTGCTAATCTGTCGTTAATGCATTTCTTGAGGTACACATATTCCGTAGAATAAACGATTGTATTCCTTTGTGAAATTGCACAGTTATCCAACTGACACAGACAAGCAGTTGTTGGCTAAACAGACGGGTTTAACTCGAAATCAGGTAAGCGCGTCTTCTATCTCTACATATTTTTAGGTCAAATCATCAAAAATTGTAGTCAAAACACAAAATTTTATGTTTAAAAATAAGAGAGTTGGTGCTTGTTTTTCTTACGTTGTTGATTAGCCAGGTTTCCAATTGGTTCATAAATGCTAGAGTGCGACTATGGAAGCCTATGGTAGAGGAAGTGCACACGCTTGAAACCAGACAAGCCCACAAATATTCATCACATATCCAGCAACCAGAAGCTTCCTGTGTCAGCAATTCGTTTTCATCTCAACCAGTGAACCAAGAACCTCATTCAAAACGCACTAGAAATGACTTCCCATGTGATAATAGATATAGCAATCAACATCTCATGGAAGGAAATAAGGAGCACATGATGAACTTTCACGACAATTTGTCAATCCATAATGGAACAAATCGTGGGGTTCCCTTGACACTAGGCTTATGTCAGAATAACAATATATTCACATTGTCAGAGGCGTTTCCGTTGAATGCCGATGGTAGGAGCAGAAGATTTGTTGTTGGTGGGTTTGATGTGCAAAATCGGCAGGTGGGACAAGAACTTATTGGGGATCGGTTTTTGCATGATTTTGGTGGCTGATGGTTTAGTAGTCTCTAGAGCCCACTTTGTTATATACGACATGACAAAACAGGAAAAGTTGTAATGTATTTGACGTAGATTGCAATGGATTCACAACAAAAATTGCAATTTTTTATCCCACAAAGAAATGGAACAATGTGTGATAGATACTTGCTCTTGATGTCTAAAGACCAATACGCATTGTCCTCGTAATTGAAAATAATCCTAGAAAATTTGTCTTGTATCATTCAATCATTTTTAGTCTACTTCCATCATGTCGTGGCCCCTCTCTTCCATGTAACATGTAACGCTCGTAGATCCGGGCTAGTCAATTAGAGACGTTAAGCGTCAAAAATGACTTTTTTATGGAAGATTATTTTGAAGGAATAATCTTAATTAAGTTATAGTATATGTTACAAGGTTTCCGTGCATATAAAGAACGCCGAAATCCGAGTTATAACGAAGAAGTTATCACCTGTCAAAGTTTCGCAACAGAACCGGCACGACACAGCGCGACGTAAAAAGTGAAATTTATGTTAGAACGATATTTAGCCTTAGCAATCTAAATGAAAGTCGTAGAATACGTTAAACCATGAGCGTGCATAAAAAGAACGTCCAAATCTGACTTCGTATGAGGAAGTTATGATTTTTCAAAGTTTCGACTTAGCGGTATGCAGTCCGAATACTCGATTTGAGATCGAGCGGTTTTTAGCCGAAACAATCTAAATGAGAATCGAAGGTCTAGTTAATAGGAGTAAAACGATAAAAAGATAGGCGAAAACGGACGTCGGATAAAGAAGTTATGATTTTATAACAGAGTTTTTCTGTCCCGACCTACTAAAAATAAATAATAAAAATAAAGTCAAAATTAGCCGACGGAGTCTAAACGAAAGTTGTAGAGCGTAGTCTCACCTACGCGGGGATATAAAGAACGTCGAAAACGGAGTTCGTATGAGGAAGATATGAATTTTTAAAGTTTATTAAATATTTTCGATATTTAATTAAAATATAAATTCGATATTATCCGGAAGGGGGGGGGGGGGGGGGGAGTCAGCGGTCTTATCCCCGTTACGCCCAACGTAATTTAGAATTACGCCTAGCGTAATTCGTGTTCCAGCCCCCTATAAAAGGGTGTCGAGTGCAACCGACTTCTTTGCTCATTTCTTTCCGTTTTCTCGCGTTTTTGCATCGTTTTTCGTGCAAGAATTATCGTGAAGCCCCGGTATCATTCCCGAGCCCCGAAGCAAGTCTCGAGGCCCCGAAGATCCCGAGAAGTGCGATTCCCGAGCCGAAGCTCTGCCCGCGAAGAATCCGGTTTTTGTGAAGATCTTCCAGATCTACCGAAGAATACTACTTCTACAAGTCGTAGTGCTGTCCGATCATCTTCTAATCAAGTGAGTGTGTGATTATTTTCTTCTAACGCATACTTATTAAGTATTTAATATAAAATACGTGTTATGTGTATATTTTGTTGTTATATGCGTGAATGTATATTCATTTTCTTCTATCTCATAGATCTGATTTATTCTCTATGAAATACGTGTTATGTGGGTGTGCCTCATCTGTTATGTGGAATAGGTATTGAATGAGAATGTTATACAGGTTTTAAACTATGAATAAAAATATATATTTTTATCTACTAATATGTTGGGTAGAACATGGGTAGATAGTTGATGTGTGATAAACAGATGAGAGGCCCCGATGTTGTTGTTGATCTAGTTATTCAGCGAGTATCGATTAGACCAAGATGTTAGTTTTAGATCCGGGAGTATGGATCAGATAAAGAGATAAAACTTGTTATTAGTCCGGGAGTATGGATTAAGACTAAGTTAATTGTCCCCAGTCCGGGAGTATGAATTGGGTACAGTTATTGATCCGGGAGTATGGATCAGATCAGGATTAGGGTATAGTTAATTGTCCTTATTTCGGGAGTATGGATTGGGTACAATTATTGATCCGGGAGTATGGATCAGATCAGGAGGTTAGTTTTAGATCCGTGAGTATGGATTAGGTGAAAAAGGTTAGTTTTAGATTCGTGAGTAGGGATTAGGTAAAGAGGAAAATTTTAGATACGAGAGTTTAGATCGTGTCGTTGTGAGGATCGATGGGGTGGGATAAGAGTTGCCTTTATATGGTGAAATTGTACAAGTTTGAATGTTCTATATTTATAAATATATGATATAACATTGTGGGATGAAAACCTTATATGCTCACCAGGCTCCCAAGCCTGACCCACTCAGTTTTCTTTGTATCACAGGTATTAATACGAAGACATATTTCACAGAGTGATTTAAAGAAGATATAAATCAATTGTGTAATTAAATGTAAGTTCTGTTTATGCTTATATGTCTGTATCGGAACATGACATCCCGATGTTTTATTATTAAAGGAAAATACATTCTCTATGAGAAATGTTTTGATAAGTTATTATCTTATCTTGTTTTGGAAACAAATTCCGCAACCATTTTCTTTAAAAGATTACTCTGATTTTATAAAACAAAGCATAAACAAATCGATCTTTTCTGGCCGTAAAAATGGGGATGTTACATAACAAAAGGCAAAGAACATATTTCTAATCTTATATGTATCCACAATCTAAATCAAATGCTATAAAAGCATCCATGTGTTGAAATATTATTTGATAGACATTAAAAACATTTTTGTTAATATGTTTTAATATATTTTTGACAAAACTGTAAATTTGGTCCTTGTGGTATTCAAAAAACTTTGAATAGGATCAAAAAAGTTTTCAAATTGAATGGAAGTTCCAAAATTAAGGTTTTTTTTTTTTGAGTTTTTGATCAAAAAAAAACTTAAAAAGACAGTTATTTCCTTTTGATTTTTTTTTTTTCTTTTTCTATAAGTATTTTAATGCTATTTTGATTTTTAAAAAATAAAGGAAAAAATTTTTTTCCACCCCTACCCCCATTGTACTCTCTCTCTCTCTCTCTCTATATATATATATATATATATATATATATATATATATATATATATATATATACCGGTTTTTGATGAACATACATACACACGGAAATCTCTCTCTCAAAAGAAAACCCACAAAATCCAATCTACAATCGATTTATGTGTGTGTGTGTATGGGTAGGTTTCCTTCTGGAAATTGTTTTTTGTATGTTCATCCCTAAAGTTCATCGGATCCCCCATAAGATCAAAATCAAAAAGCTTTGTCATCCTCTTTCTGAAACTGAAATCAAAGCCAACACCCACCTAGCATCCATTATATCCACTTCTCCTCTTACTCTGAACTGAAGGAGACTGAATCGATATCGTCATTGAAGCACTTCAAGTGGGAGTTTTCAAAGGATTTTGTTGTTGTTGCAGGTTGGTTCTTGAGAAATCGACGAGCTTTCTTAAGTAAAATTTGTGCTCCTTTCTGGTTTCTCGAATCATTGTCTATATATGAAAATCGAAACCACTTATCACTTTAGATTCAGTAAATGCGTTCTTGTCAGTCAGCTTGGTTTTTCTGATCTAGGTTTGGTTGGAATTTCTTATTCGTCGATGATGATCTGGAATATCAGGTTTGGATTTAGATATTGAACCTTTTTTGATTTGTTTTTTGTTTGAATTTCGTTAACCAAATGTAATAACTGTTGTAATGGAGTTGAAGTTGGATGAAGATGAGTTTCGAAGTTGTTGTGCAGATGAGGAGGAACTCTTGTGGAAGAAATTACAAAACAAGGTTTAAAAAAATTGTAGCGATGATGATTTCTTGATGAATTTTTTTTACAAATGTTCTTCAAGGCTTCCTTGATTTCAAACCCCGATAGCAATGAGTTCACTATCTCTAGAATTAGGGTTGTAATGGAGAGAGAGAGAGAGAGAGAGAGAGTGAGTGAGTGAGAGTGTGTGTGTGTGAGAGAGAGAGAGTGATTTTATTTATTATTTATTATTTTTAATTATTTAAATACCAAAAAAAATAAAAAAATAGAATAAAGAAAGAAAAGGGAAAAATCGACTTTTCAAGTGTATCAGGGACCAAAAACTAAGAAAACACTGATTTTGGACATTCTATGCAAGTTTGAAACTTTTTAGACCCTATCCAAAGTTTATTGAATACCATATGGACCAATCTTGCAGTTTTGTTTATATTTTTTCATTGCAATTGTGTGTAGCTGTATAATGGGGTTTTATAAAAAGTTATATTTGATTTATGGGAAATCTCCAGAAAAGTCCTAATATTTCACCTTAATTTATGAAAAAATCCCAAATTAAAAATTATTTACAAAAAAAATCCTAATTATTGGTAAATATGATGATTTGACCATTTTTTCTGGTTTATCGGTTTCAATACTTACCTGGTTTAATTAAAGTCTCATTATTTTACCCTAATTTCATAAAAATCTCATTATTTTATCATAATTTGGGACTTGTTCATAAATTATGGTAAAATAATAAGACTTTAATAAAACCGGGTAAGTAATGAAACCGATAAACCAGGAAAATGGGTAAAATCGTCACTTTTACATGTAATTGGGATGTTTTCATAAACAAATTTTAGTTTGTGACTTTTTCATAAATTAGGGTAAACTATTAGGACTTTTCTAGAGATTTCTCTTTATTTATTACAAATCTATATAAATGATCTCTATAGTTTAGTGAAATAGCAATTTCAGACCAAGTCTTATTTTATTTATTTTAAACACCTTTTTAATCAGAAAATGTTAGTGGAAATCTTATAGTATTTATTAAAAAAACATCAATGATGTTACTTATTTCAAACAACCATTTGAAAGCCAAATTCAAAATTCAACAAAGTAAGTTCTCAAAGTAGCGGAATGAAAACTCCAACAATGTTCCAAAATGGTATAATATTAAATAAAGTAACTACCAAAAAATGCAACCCAACACACTAAGCCTCACTCCATTTTAACCTCATGTACGATTTACAATCAAACATCGGAAACACACAACATATCAAGTGTTAGCATCGATACAGTTCGTCAATCTTAAGTACAAAAATATGGAAACATACACATTTCATGCAATCTGTTCATCCACACACATTGTCATATTACATGATCCATGCATACACATAAATTTACTTAGTAATTAAACACTAAGCTCACCATTATAATTACTTAGTACATTTACTGTGTATAGGGTCTAAAGCAACTCTAACATCCCCAAAAGACCTCGTTCACTACTAATGTGACCTGACGAACCAATAGACTTGTAACATCCCAAAAATGATAGTAAAAAAGTTTCAGTATAATTAAACCCTTTAATAATCCATAAACATACAAAAACATTGTTTTCAAGAACATAGTAAAAACAAGAGTATCCCAAAATCATTAATCAAC